ACTGAAAAGAGACAAGTATGTGGACTAAACAGGACATTTCCTATAAGCATCTGCAGTGGCTGCTCTGTCACTTCTTTGCCCAGTCTTGGTAAATTATGGCAGCTCTCAGTAGACAGAAAAGCTGTAATTCATCGTCTCCAATAATGTAATCTACATTTATCACTGTTTTAATTATGTTGAATGTTAACTTGCTAGTTTCATTGCAAGAAAATACAACTTACTCATTTTTCCAAATAGACAGCATCTTATCTGACTCAAAGGCTGCAGTTTAAAAATTAAATCTTTCTCTCATTACCAATCAGATCACATTTAAAACAAATCACCTGTATTTGTTTTCTTCATTAAAGTATTATTTTAATGAAGAATTCATTTTCTAAGCAAAGTCCCCACTGATCTGAACGATAGATTTGTCTGAAGAGAGTGAACTCTAATGAAGTTCCATTGAAAAGATTAAAATTGTATCTAAAGTAGCTATTTACTTTAAAGTAGATATTTGTATCGCCTCTTATTTCTAATGCACAATTTCTACCCTTTCTTCATGAAGTAAACTTTCAAGATCACTTTAAAAATTATAACAAACCATGGTTCAGCCATATAGTAGAAAAATAATACTTGTTCTGCCATAAAAAACCCACATGCATGAAGAAGCTCATTAACAAAAAAGAAACAAAATCCCCCCAATATTTAAGATTAACAATAATTATGCTATCAGTGCAAGAATTAAGCTTGATTAGAAGTTTCAGTTAAATCTAGAGTGAAGTAATTTTGACCAAATTTAACATTACTTTTTTGCCAGTAAAATAATAGTTGCTTTACTTAAAACATGGGTCACCTTTTTAACTTCTGTAATCATTTTATGTTAATGGATAGCAAATATAGGGTATTTTCTGGATTAGCCAGTGCACATTATGCTATAATAATTGTTTCCTCCAGCAACATTTCAGCATATCAAATCTCATGGTGAAAAGTGAAGATCTAGGAGTAGAAGCTAGAGATTACCCACAAAACAGGCAGACAAATATCAAAGCTTCTACACACTCCTGAAGCACCTCTTAATTCAATTTTAAATTAGTCTTCATCATCATTTATTACCAGTTCTCAAATACTGCAGGAAGTGGTTTGTGATGTACTATTGACTGCACCAAAATTCTTATCACTTGTTACGCAGAAAAAATGGCTTGCAGAAGTAGAAAGCTGTTGCATTTATCTATCCACTGTTCCAAACGAACTAAGGCATGTGGGCAGTCATGTGTTTTACACAAATCATTAGAGACACTGGAATGTTTTGAATAGCCATCAATGGTTACATCATTAACTATGATTTACTGCAATGACTTATGATTTTCATTTCATAGAAGTGCATTAACAGTGTGTTCTACACATACATTAACACTCCCCACCATAAAATAAAGCCATTTAACTTTTCACAGAGTGACTTTTACGATGCTGTTACAGAAGAAACTAATTGTAGTTAAAGCATTTATTTTTCAAAAGGTCATGCTTTTTTATTGTAGTTTATAATATTTAAATGGCAGCGTACGAGTGTGAATGTGCAAGTATGCAAATGCAGCGAACATCTGTGTTCAATACTGAACTCGTCCAACAAGTTCTGCAGAAAACACAGAATAAAAAGTTATTTGCATATTAAGCTATAATGAGGTAAAAGAGAAATCTAAATTGTAAATGAGTTTTGGAGACGAATCAGTGTTAATGAACAACAATTACTTCAGTCACTGTGTGAATTAAAACAACATCATTAATAAAGCTTAGGTGTTTTGCTGGTGAGAATGTCTTCAGTCCCTGGCAGATCACGCAAGACCTAATTTGGGAGAAACAGCAAGCACAAAGGAAGTAAGTTTAAAATTATTTTGGTTTGAAGCTCCACAAAAAAATTCAGGAAAACCTGCACAACCCAGAAAATCCTATCCAGTTTTAATGACTGCCCTGAATGCCTGATAAAATTTCAGGTTTTCACTAGATAATGACACCAGAGCTTATAAACCTAAAAGATGACTCAGAACAGTCTCTTTTGTTCACTTTCTTGCATGTAAAACAGTCAGTGAAAAATCAAAATGTTTCCTGAAGAAAAAAAGAAAAAGGCTTTTGTTTGAGCTAAAAATAAGTCTAAACATCCTGTTCTTTACCTGACTGCTCAAAACCAGCTGCAGGTAATAATGATGTAGGGAGAAACTACAGAGGGCACTGTTGTATCAGTTTTCAGGCGTTACAATGGTGACTGGGCCCAAGAACAGAAGACTGTCAGGAAAATAAATAACTAACTAAAGAAAGAATCCGGAGTTAGAAGAGCATGCAAATGCACTAAACCTAAAACAATAACAAGGCAAAAAGACTGAAGCTGTATTTCTGAAGGAAAATGGACTGAAAAAAAAAAGTTCACATAGCAGACTGTCAGGATGATAGGAACACTGCAGTGCACACATTTGGCATTTTCCTTTGTAGTACTTTCCACAGAAAAGGTAACTAATCATAGCGCTGCCTTATCCTTTGTAAACAGCAACCTATTACTGGAATCCCACTCATAATCAATATGAAAATGAGTGATGACTGTTATGCAATTCTTCCACAGGCAGAATTTATCAACAGAAGGAGTATCTCCACACAGTACAGTTCTTTGTGTAAGAGGCCAGTTCCTTTTTACTCCTTTTCGTAATGACAGTTACAAATCAATCATTTCTATTTTGAAAATGGTAATAATAAATAAACCAAATGAAATCCCATCCTTTCCAGAAGAATTACCTTTAAATATACTGATCAGAAACAGTAAGCTCCAGCTGAACACAATGTAACCATACAATTGCTGTATGTATGACATTCCTATAAAAGGGGGCATGTGTTAAATAAGTCAGCATAAATAACTTAGTAATTATATAAAGCAAAATGCTTTTTACGCAAAGAATGAGCTTCAGAGATAAAAATATTTACAAAGACATGTTTGATAAATGTTTCACCGTCCATTTGTATGAAAGCTCGCCTGTCCTTGATTGTATTTTATTAGAACTAACCCCAATTACATTTCATTAAACACTAACAAATTAAAACATATATTACCACTGCCTAATGAGAAGTGTAAATAATATAAAGCAGCCAGTTACCTCAGCACAGAGTAAGATAATTCATTTTTCATATTTTCTTTTTTATCCTTAAAAAAGCATGATGAAGATGCCAAGTAAGAAACCAAAGTACTGAAATAAGATATGGGTAGTACCCTCCATTTAAATGCAGCTGTAGAGAAGAAAGGTGTTGCTCTTTTTCAACAACGTGGTAGCAAAACTCACAAACAGCATGTTTTACAGTACTACAGCAAAAGCCATAGCACTTTTATGAACATCAACTCAAATTCACATTTAAAGAGGAAAGGCTACATGGAAGATATTTTCAAATTAAGCAAGGCAATAACTTCATAATAAACCAAAGAACAAATGTTAACAGAGAAGATGCTCAAACAAACAAAACATGTACCAGAAAATTGTCTATGGCTATGTGAATGAATAAACAAAACAAAATCAAAACCACAGACAGGGCCTGTGGATACTCACACGCACAAGAACTGTAATGGTAACTGTGGAGGAACTGTGTCTCTAAGAATGCAAAGACAGAAAGGAAACCGCCACAGAATATGAAAATCCAATTTTTTATTTATTTTTTTTTTAATTACAAAACCAGACAACACAAATATTTACCAAACAAGACCCCAGTTCCTTCACAGACACTGAGAACTGGAATTCCTTCTAAGTGGTTTAAGTAATTGGTTCAAGCAACTTGTTAATAAAAGATAGATAAACCCCAAAACTAAAATGCATGTCAGAAATGGGTTTGCCATCTTTGGCTTCCAAACAGGCCCTATATATGCAATGTTAAGTGGAAAAGTTCACTAAATTTGAAATTCATATATACTCTCTCATTAGCCTAATTTTGTCTCTAAATCAGAATTATTTTTAAATTGCTGAACATACTGCCAGTCTAGTAATCTGTTCAGCTCTTGTTTTTTATTAGCATTGTTTCTAGCAGTCTAGTTTTGCTAAAATAAAGTTTAATCTTATGTTATCATTTTCAGGTATGAATAAAAATTTCATTAGTATTACATATACTCCTTTTGAAGTGTATATGAATGTAGGCAGGCAGGTTGCATGCATGTAAACAAAATTAAAAGTTTTTTAGATACACAGTATTAATAAAGGAAATACATATGAACCTACTGAATATACACTATGACACCAGGCTGAAACAGGGGAAGTTCTCAAGTTAAAGATACCTGTTTGTTCTATGTAAAACTTAACTGCATTTTAACTTAGAAATGTTGTAGTTCATTCCTACAGACATGCAACTGGATCTAAATGGTGCTGTTACTGAGGCTGTTGCATCTATGCATGTCACTTAAATAAAATTCAAGCCATGAAAAAGATTTTGATAACGTTTACCAAACTGACTTAAACATCTTAATGTATTTTTCCATTTAACTACAATACCGAATGCCAAAATGTTAACAGATAACTCTCTAAATATTCACGATATTTAACAAGATATTTGAGGTTCCTTTCTCCCCATGCAATACAGCACATTAAAACCAATTTTACTATCATAATTTATTCAAAGCTTGATTATGAGCAATAGCTGTGAGAAGAAATACAGCATTGTTGATTCACATACAAGCATTTCACTTAACTACATTGGATAATAGCAGTGCTCCTAAAGGAGTATAAAAGCAAAGTGATTAGAAGTCATTACTGTTAATTAGCATTCACTTTACATTGATAGGGATGAACCTTTTCTGTGCTGAACAAATGGAAAGCTTTTATCTGAAAGACTGCCAAACCTGGTCAAGGTAGGCACTCAAATAAAGTGTCAGTGACCAGCAAGTTGAATTCAAAACAACAATAACAAAAAAGCAAAACAAAATCTAAGGATGTATCATCATCCAATTAGTGAGATTCAGTTTTTAAACAGGAAAAGGTTTGAAGGGAATGAGTAAAACTGGAAACTCATACTTCACATTCTGCAATCTCACTGATAAAAGGAGGAAATGTGTGTTTATCAAACTTGCTGTGAGTGCACAGTTCATTTGGCATCCTGTAAACAATGCTTGGCTGCCCATTTCCAAATGCATGTGAGAATCTTGCAACCCAGAACATCATATTCAGCAGGCAAGGTCACACTAGAGATGCCCTGGAAATGGGAAATTAGGAAAACCTGGCAATCAGAGGTTTAAAGCTGACCAGAACAAGCCCTTGGGCTTGCTTACCAACTTTCACCACCAGCCTGACTGTCTCTGCTTATTCAATACTAACACAACAAGACTGAGAGTGAGTGAAAGCAACTCCACACACCTACTAAGGAGAAATACAGTGACTTTTTTGTTTACATAAAGCTCAACATTTCTCACGGTAAGAAACTACCTCAAAGATTGTTGCTCAAGATCCTCTTCTGGAAAAAAAAAAAAAAAAAAAAAAATTGACCCTTCCTGAACAGTTCAGATGAGACACGGAGAATGACAGGCATCCTGTTGATTAAAAAACGTCCTTGTTCCCATTTAATTTAAAATTCAAACAAAACAAAAAAAAGAAAAAACCTAAACAAACCCTGTCTTGTAAATGGAACAAGATACATAATTATTCTTACTTACTTATAACTTACTTATAATTATTGCCAACTACGCAATTATTTCTTACCCTCTTCCCTTAATTCACACTCTTATTCACTGCTGATGACAATGGTCATCCCCTAGCTGGAGGAAGCTACGAGCTCCAATCCAGAATTAATTAAAAGAAAAAAATAACAAGTAGATTAAAAAAAAATAAAATTGTTGAACACGACGAGTGCAACGGGACAGTTCAAATTCTCACAGACAAAAATCTAGTCATTGTAAAAGGTACAGGAACTTAAGTTTATGCCACATGAAAAACCACAGTAAATATTTTTGACTAAAAAAATATATATTTATGAAGAAGCACAGATATTTATTTCTTGTCAGTGTAGGTAGCCATTTCATACATTTTCTAGAAGTTCACATTTAACTTTCACGTCTAAAGGCAAAAAGAAATATGCTAAGAGATAATGGTGTCCAAATGTTTATCTAATCAACATGAGTAGCAGAGGGACCAAAAAAAATTCCATTGTCTTAGCTAACTGGGGACTGAAGATTTTTTGGGATGTTTTTTCAATACTGATGTTATAATTTCACTTGCTGTACATAAATTCTATGTTTCAATTTCTGAATTACATATAAAGTTAACCTATCAAAATATCAAGTGCACAGTACTCTCGATTTGCAATAATCCTAAAATATAGCAGAAATTAAGTAGGAGTGATTATTTTGGAAATTCAGCATAAAGCCAAATACCCATTCCTACAATTTCATCTTTTTCAAAAATGCTGAGAAACATACCTTTGAGGAACTAGTACACATATCTACAAAAAATTCAAATTGTAACAGGGAAAATATCAGATTTTTTTCAACTGAAAACATGGGAAATGATGACTAGAACAGAACCGTCCTGCACACTTCTGAACTCTCTGAATCCATCAGTGACAAAGGGAAGCTACCTACTTTATCTGAACTTATAAACTGCAAAAATAGTTTGGTGAACAGCAGGCTGAGGTCCTCAGATTACAGATTCCATAGCTAATAACATCTAGATTTTTACGACTCCTAAGAAAATCTGCAAACCTTATTTGCACAAGTTAAGAGTACACTATCGGCCTTTATCATGTAAATATTGCCACTGAAGTCACAGGGATTACCAAGAGCTGATTAAAATGGACACCTAAAAGCCAAACGCCTATTCTAAATACTTTACTGTTTCTTTTAAATACATTCTATAACACTGAAGACAGTGAAGCAATGCCTACAGTGGAATACTACGTTACATTTATTCATGTATTTTTTCCTGATGGCAGCATCTAGACGTTTGGCTGTACAAAAGCCACTGAAAGTCAGTCATCAGACTGAATCCAAGAACTCATTTTACCCATTGGCCACAGCAGCTAAATTCTGGAGAAGGATGAAAGGAAGACTGTTTCCTTAGCATGGAAGACTGTTAGCAATAACGATGAACTGCAAACTTCTGTGAAGGAATTACTCCCTTTCTAAAGGCCACAGAATAACCTTGTACTTTATCCATTCATCTCAAACCCTGAAGAACTGTTTCCTGAAGGACTCCAAGTCTTAGGCTTTGTTCAATGAAACTCCCTAAGTTCCCTCTATTCCACCTGAACTTGTACAGCCAAAGTACTTTGTCTGAGGCAAAAATTCTTCTCAAATAACATCTAAATACACAGCTATTGCCCTTTTAACTCTCAGACAGGAATACTTCCTGTCTTCAGTAAACATCATGTTCCTGTCCTTAAAAAACAACTATTAAATACAGGAGTCACATTGTACTAATAAACTCTTTGTTGCTGTAACTAAAAACCATGTTACTTATTCTTAGTGACTGAGCTATAAGATAGCTGCTCTAGAATGTGACATTATTTTAGAAAATAAGTTTTCTTTCTTTCCTCTTTCATGTTACTGATAAAATGAAACAGTGCCACAGGCAAAGGCTATTATTATTCAAATGTTTCATACATCCAATATATCCAACATCAATTCTTATTTTTCAGCTGATGATCAATGGATGATATCATAATTAATAATCTTTCAGTCCTGAGATCCAATATAGTAATTTCTTCCAAGTGTACTCTTTGGTTTTTTGTAAGCTTGCAGGTTTTGAATCCACAAAGTGCACCACAAAAAGAACTCTGACAGAAATAACATGTTAAAACTGAAAATACACTGAAATTTAACTTGTATGTTTTATAATAAACACAGGGAAATATATTACAAAGAAACTAGAATCAATTTTTGAAACACTAATTTCAAAAACCTCAAGTAATGAAAAATTTTATTGAAAAAGATGAAAAAAAACAGCTAGAAAAAAACTCCAACATATTATCAAGTTCAAGATTTCTATAAATTACTCCAGCAGTGGAAACTTACCAAATAAAGGCAAAGCCTGCACAGAGCAGAGGAGATAAGGCAAGACATTTGGAAGAGGACAGAACTGTCCACTGAAACCCACAACAAAAGCTTAGCCGTAGTTCCACGAGATACAGAAAACAATCCAAAATTCAACCCATTTACCATCACTTCTGTATGTGCTTGAGTAAAACATCAATGTATTATTTGGACAAGTTCACAATTCCATTGAAAAGGGAAGAAAGCAGTTAAATATGCCTGTATTGAGAAGTATGTTGTAGCAACTTTTAATAAAATGCCTCCAGGCTCCAGTCTTTCTAACAACTGAAGGGAAAGAAAGTTTTCCCACACATTTCCTGGTTTCAAAGACAAGGCCGTGATAAAACCCTGAAGGATAATTCAGGCAACTAAGAAACTCTAGTGCTTACATGCTTTGCTGGAAAAACCTCCAACACACAAAGCAACAAACATGGACAAACAAGGGTATTTGTAATCCCTGTTCAGTAACATGGAGAGTAATTAAATTATTCCTGAGAGTTCCTCATACATGTCTCAAAGTAAATACTCTACTATCAGGTGAGGACTACCTAGTAATATACAGGTAGACATCATATAAATAGCCTGATATGTTTCACAACATATATTGATAGAGAATCTAAAACAGAGCATTAGTCAACTAAAAACTAAATTTCCTTCATACCTATCATTCATCTGGGTTTGTGACAAAATTAGCAGGTTTACAGTCTTCGGTAGTCAATAGCACTTTTTGAGGCCTGTGAACTAGAACAGGACTGTTGTCCTGGGTTTCCCAGCACTGCAGGAGAACATTTAACTTTTTAGAAATCTTGTTGTCATTAACATTGTTTTTAAAAAAATCAAATAGTTCCGAATTCATACTAGTTTTTCAAATGTCTTTTAATTTTTTACTAAAGAAGTACTTGCAATACAGTGTTCTTTACAAACAGAAATGAGGCACACTATGTGATTTTGATCTAGACACGCCTTTCCTGTATTGTTGGGCCCAAATCATTTGACAGAGAAACAGAGCTATGTTAGTTTGACCAGTGTTTTGAAATTACATCCACTCAAGGATGCGTTTTGACAAGGCTTCCGCAGAATTCCTCCCCTCCCTTCAACAGAATGCAAATTGAGCTCTCTGTTTAAAACTATTAACATCTGGGGAAAAAAATTCCTAAAGCAAAATCCTCAGTGATTAAGATTTACATAGTAAAGCTACAAAACTGCAGTTATAACAAAATGTGAAAAAATAAAACCAGAAAGCTTTCAAAGCTAAATCTTAACACACAAAAGAAAAAATTTCACATCTTTTTCTCAAAACTAAAAAACCAAAGAGTTACAGCTGCTGTAGTTTACGTCTCCCTGATAATTTTGCAATTATTCATCAGAATATGCAAGACTTCTACTGAACCTTCTGCACCAGAAATTCATAGATAGGTCTGACCGTAAAGACACGGTCTAATATTAGTCTAATATAAAGTCAATACATTGTTAATGTTTATGTCTTTATCATATAGTGGAATTAATATTTCTATACAGGAAAGAAATAGTTATTTAGTTCCAGACAACTTGATAACATCTCTTTCAACTATAGTTATAATTATCATGTACAAACTTCCAAAGCAGAAGTTGTTAAGATTTAACATTAGCATTAATTTATGTCAGGCATCCATTTCTCCAAAGACAGCAAGAATCGAAAAGGAAGTATCATCTTAATTGCCACTAATCTGCCCATTTTTAATTAAATTGATCAGTAATTTATTATATTACCCAGTGGCAGAAAGATGTTAGTATGCAGCTTCAAGAGACAGCATATAGTAGTCCTTCTAATTCCTAATACTATCATGGTTCAAAAATAATTTAAAACTGCTGTACCACATTTCTTTCAATTCCTGTACTGCACAATATGCACATTCCACTTAAAACCTCTGTGAAGCACTCTAGAGCATAATCATAGAATCACAGAATTGTTTAGGTTGGAAAAGACCCTTAAGATGATCGAGTCCAGCCATAAACCTAACACTGCCAAGCCCACCACTAAACCATGTACCTAAGTGCCACATCTACATGTCTTTTGAACATCTCCAAGGATGGTAACTCAACTGCTTCCCTGGGCAGCCTGTTCCAGTGCTTGATAATTCTCTCAGTGAAGAAATCTTTCCAAATATCCAATGTAAACCTCTCCTGGTGCAACTTGAGGCCATACAGCCTACGTGCATTGTCCCCCTGTTTTGTAGTGTTACATTTCAACACAGGTCTATGATCTTAATTTTACTTTAGAGGAACACGATTTCTCTGCCAAAAATGTTTAGAAGATGCAACATTTGACTCTAACATGGTTCAGGAAGCACTTTATACTCAAACCACATTCTTAGGTCTTATCTGCAAGTCAACATTTTAAACTGAACAAAGAATAAGCCTGAAGCTTTTAGGTTCATGAATCTCAATTCTCATTTCAGTGGAGGAAAGGGGGCTAGAAAATGTTCAATACCTGAACCAAAGACTACAAATATCTTTAGCTGAAGTTTCAGAAAGCAGGCTACCAGTTTGACGAATAAAAATTAAACGTGTATTTACTTTTTTAAAAATAGCAATCAATATGATTTTCTGAACAGTGTTGGTTTAGTACCATGCCATCAACACAGTACAGTTAATTGTGTCACCAACACAATTAACTGGAATAGACACAGCATGTTCACTTAAACTTTGTATAAAAACCTCTGGAGTCAAAGGGAGGTTTTCTATTTATTTCAGTGATTTAATTCGGGTGGAAAATAGAAGTACTACATGAAACATCTTGGAAAAGAACAGAATAAATTTCAAGTGGTTTACGAAATATGCTTATTATCTCACTTGAACTGGTTTTATAGCTAAAAAGGATTGATATACATTATTGCTATCATGGGATATATCAGAATATAGTTACAGAGCTACCAGAATCAAAACTATCATTGTAAAATATTCTGTAATACTTTTGTGAATGATCTGCAACATACAAACAAACAACAGATTCTGGTTTACAGAGCATGTGTACACAAATGCAAATGGCTAGACATTACTTTCTATACATCAATAAATGCACAAACCCCAAAACATCTCTCATTCCAGTAATCAAACAATGTATGACTTCAAATACGAAGCTACATAAACATTTTACTTATAGATAATTTTCACAATTATGTTTTTGTAATGTATGCCGAGCACCTGTTACAGGGTTTTTATTAAAAAGGAACATGGTTTTGGCTTGAAATGGGGATTAGTAAGTCTGATTTACATTGGGGAAAAAGGAATAAAGTTACATTATATATTTACAACATCAGAAGAACAAAAGAATAGAAATAAAACTTGCAAGAGCAAAAGTGTTCAATTTTTTTCTCAAAGCTTTCCTTAAATACTGAAGTGGATCATTTTCTTAAATTCATAAATGACTTAAGCAATATAATCATCCCAAATTATTTGATTCTTTTCATTCAGCATACCTTAACAAGTTTCATGAGGTGGTAAAGGTCTTCAACCTCATCTTCCTGACATGTAGTATACACTCTTCCAGTATTAACACTGGTACCCTTTATGAAACCACGATAGAGTGGCAAATCCAACGCATCAGCATATAGGTCAATGGCATGGTGTCCTACTGTCTGATACATATAGCTGTCCAATTCATCAGTCTGCCCTGCCACAATTAAGAAACAATCATATCAGATATATTATTTCAACAGTTACAGATAATCACAGTACTACAAAGCACTGAGAAAATCTAAATGTCAATATTTTTGGTTCACAAACAGACATTTGGTGACAATACCTCTATAAACAAGGAAAGACAAAAAAATAGATTTCTCTACCAAACAGACACATGGAGATGAAGACACCTGTCACAAACATGGTGCCTATTTGTAAACTGTGGTGTCTACTTCTTCTTTAGTATTCCTCCCTGCTTCGTTCAAAAATCTTGTCATGGTCCAATCCTGCTCCTATTTATGTGGTAATTTTAACAGGAACACAGTTCAGAGGCACAAAGCCGTATGCATTTCAACATACACAGAGCAAGAAATTTGGAATGCACTCCAACACTGAGAATAAGCAATAGGTTGTCAAAAATTCCAAAATCTTTACTGTTAAAATTGTTATCATGGTCATGAAGAAAGGAGATTATTTCTGCTTAAGTAGAATAAAAGTAGACCACTATATGTTTTGACATTGCTTAACATACAAAAAGAAAAGGAAAGCTGTTATTTTACCCAGACCCTTTCCACCTTCAGTCCTTTTAAAAATTAAGTTCAAAATGAAAACGTCTCTCTGACACCATTTCCTTAACAAGGAGAAAAATGTAACTGAATTTTCTTACAAGCAGTTTGTAGCTAACAGACAAGGAAAAAAAAAAACAGCTAAAATGCAGACATCATGGATTAGAATTAAATTTCAAACTATGTGATGAACCGTTTACATATAGAATCTTTCAGATAACTTTTCAAACAGATTGATAAAGCAATAGATCTTATTGGTGAAATCTCCACTTTATTTATTAAAAGCTATCACAGATCACTATTTTAATGCTAATTTGGAACTTCTCTTAATTTACACAAACATCAAGCATCTCTGCTGTATGCCTCTGTACCAAATTTTTCAAAGGAAAAGGTCTGTAATATTGATCTAGATAACCTAATTTTTAAGTCACAAATTAGTTATGTCACATCCGATGCCATACAACGGATCCACTTTTGCTCAAAATAGGCAAATCCAAGCCCAAAATCACAACTAACAAACCTAGACCAGAAGAGTTGATTTAAAAGAAAACTCAGTGTTTTTCAACATACATGAATATGACAAGGTCTTTAAATTGATATTCAGTTCAGAATACACAGGTTTTTTATTAACTGAGACTCTCCAGGCAACAGTGGTACAAGATAAAATAAAATGAATGGCATAGAATCTGCTATCGCCTGAAGCACCTCAATTAACTTCCCACAAAATTTCCAACTACACACTTAAAGAGAGCATTTTATGATTTTAATGACAATATTCTACATTTCTGATGTGGATAAATTAGTTTAAAGACAACGTATTTCAAAAAGATTAGAGATGATTATGTCCTAGCTCCCCAGAAAATAAATTGTTCCTGGAGTCCCTAGCATTTGCCAGTTCCACCTGTGACTCATTTGTGATGGCAGGTCCCTTTTCCCTTTACTTGCTGTGTATCTTCCTAGCATACAACTTCCAGGTATCACGCTTAATTGTTTAACATATGCTGAACAGTTAACCTATGTTAACATCCTTTAACATTCTCCTCTACCAACTGGGAAACAACTCACTTCCGTTTCAAGTCTCGCTTCAAATTCAGCTTATGCTCTAGTCCAGCACAGAAGTACTCAGCTCACCCCCTCACCTCACCTCACCACTAACTTAGACTACCTGTGTTTCTCCCATTCTGTTTCATAGAAATAAGTCTAGGTGCAGCCTAGGCTGGTCCAAGCTAAAAGGAAGGAAAAAGGCACGAAAAAGAAGAGCATCAAGGTCAATTCCGACCCAGATCAGTTCATCGATCCAGTTCACAAATGCTGGGCTAGAATAATGGAGGAAGACACACAAGGCTAAAAACAAACGAGCAGCAGCAAAACTGCATGTTTTGGCAACTAGTATGACTTATGCCAGTTTAAAGCACTACTAGAAATACAGCGTTTGTTTGGTTGATGACATCTTCTATCACCTTTTACTACTTATGCTACTGAACTCACATAGTCCCTTTGTTTATCATCAGGATTATTCATATTCTCCCTTTTTCAAATTGTGTAAGCCTTTCTTTTACTGATCTTCACCATCTAGCGGTTTTTTCCCCTTTGAGGAAAAATACATTCAATATGTCTCCATAGCATTTTCTTTTTCGTACCTCTTCAGATTTCTAGATTGCCCTTCAATATACAAAACTACATAAAACACATAAAGGAACTTAATTCAGGCACGGCTGTGCCTCCATTGTTTCTAATACATATATAAAAAAATCTCCTATAAGAAATGGGGCTTTCATACCTGTGTTTTCAGCAGGTCTTAAATTGGCTAGAGCAACAATCTGATGCCCGGCAGCAACACACTGCATCATATTGTAACAGCTGTCTTTCCCACCACTGTAAGAAAAAGAAAACAGTGGCAATTAAAAATACTGGTAAAAGTTTTAGCCCCTTGTGACTTCTGCCTAACTACTTAAAAATTTTTACCATCAGAGCTGGTTATAAAGTTTTGAAATAATAAAAAAAAAGATTGCAAAGTATTAGCTGTAGGAAAAGAATTATTTCACCACACAACATTTACTGTACATGTATAGTGCTCACATACAGTATCCATAAGGCACACACCCAGTTCTGTATCTTACTACTAATCTGCGAGGTTACATGAAGATTTCACTTACCCTGGAATCCCTTCAGAACAAGGCCTGTTTTCTACTCCAGAGAAATTACTCTGTACTCAATACTAGATAACCTGGATTACAAAGAATCATATCTACTCCACAGAACTGCCAGCACTGGCAATCTTTTCCAATGAAGACTGTCATGTCAGGAATAACATTTATGCTTTACAGGGTACTTTGCCTAAAGTTTCAACATTTTAAAGGTACTTCGCATTCTCAAAAGCTTAATTGTGACAGGCAGTAGGTTCAGTTGACATTGCATTGAACGTACAAATTTTTTATTGCATGTAACTGCGAATAAAAATAATTGATGCTGATTAAAAAAAAAAAGAAAAAAGAAAACAAAACAAAAGACCAGTATTCTCTGAGGCCAAGAGATGATACTCTAACACAGAGAATACAATTAATTTTGACATGCATTCAAGATCTTCTGGAAACTTTTACACTATCACTGAGGAAAGAATCCTGCTTTCCTGGTGTAACTGAAATATAGCATTTTTCATGGATTTTAATCATTACCAAAAGAAATATTACAGCCTAACAATAAAACTAAGAGTTCTCTAGAATACACTGCTTACAGAATCCACGTGCAGACTCACAGCCTTCAAACTACAACTGCAGGTGGAGATTCTGTGCAGCTTCCTTAAATGCCAAGGCACAATACCAGTCTAGGGCAGTAACTACAACAGAGATCTAAACCAGCTCTGTAAAACTGCGTCTTGCCTTAGTCATTGAGATATGGACAGAACAGATAGTACAAGCAGTCCTTGCTACAACAGAACATTGATCTCCTTGTGACTACACTGTTACTAACAAACTTACTCAACATTTCCAACGCAAAGTTTCCACTTTTATCTAGCCCTCTATGCAAGAGCTTGAAAATGCATTACAGGAATGTAACGATACAGGTATTCCCCTCAATTTCTGCTTTTATCCATGCTAAAAGTCTTTAGGCTGACCTTAATTTGCTGTATAACTCAAATCTAAAGAGAAATAGTATAAATCAAATGTCATCCTTTTGTACTTAGATTTTCATAAAGCAGTTGTGTATGTTTCAGTGCTATAAAAGCAAATAAGATAATAAATAGATTCCTAATTCGCGGTTCCATCTCTACCTGACACTACTCTCATGCATACCTACAACCTTCTGTTAACCTATACATGGACGAAAAAAATGTTTTAAATCATATGGTCATTAATTCTGGATACTGTGCTCAATAGCTTGAAAACGTACATAGCATTCACCTCATAATGTGAAAATTCAGGCTTAACAGAATCGTAACGAGACAAAGGCTCTTTTCATTCTGAATGATTTAATACTAAAAAATAAAAGCCTCCCACTAGTTCTGACTTCAACTCCAAACACAACTTCAGAAAAAAAAAAATGATAGTAGATAACTGCCTATGCTGTTTACAGCATTTCAACATATTTTTTTAAATAAAAATGAAAAGAACACGACAATAAATCTTATTATTAATCTTTTCAGTTAATTTATCACCAAAAAAAAGACTTGTTAAGATGAGGCTACATTCAGATTTCCCACAATGCACCACCAATTACTTTATTGAAATTCATAGTCACTGGATCACATGCTACTATACTGTTATTTATCTTCTGTATTACTGTTACCACGACCCTAAAAACTAACCATACCAAGAAACAAAACAGTGCCCACCTACACAGCCTTCTAACCTAGCTGTAAAACACACGACTGTTAAAACCAATGAAGCCAGACAGCCCATGCTGCAGGAGGAAGGTGGACTCAGCACAGTCCCGACCTGGCTGTTGTCTAATAGACTGTAACAAAACAAAACAAAACAAAAACAACAACAACAACAACAAAAAAAAAAAAAAAAAAAAAAGAGAGAGAAAGAAGGGAAAAAGCTGTAAGGGAGATCAAGGCAGGTACTTAGGTAGCCTGGGGACTCATCACAGGAAAAAACACAAGGCCTTTTGTAGAGAACTGTACGAAGTCCAGCCACAGTCAGGGTTAGTTTTGACAGTGCCGACGGTGTATAAACAGGTAGGCTTATGAACAAACAAAATACCGGCAGAAAAATAAAAAAGGTAACCCTAAAGATACGGGCCTATAAAAGACTTCTGAGCAAAATTCCTTTAAATTGACAACCATAACCATTTACACTAAGAAAATCCTAGAAGAATTAGAGAGTTGAAAAACATCGTATTTCAGGTATAAGACTGGCTTTAAAATGTCTATATTTAGCACAAAACACAATACATACCTTAAATAATACCCATAAACACCATCTTAAAGCAAGACTATCAACTTTAAGTGTGGCCAGCATTTCACAAGGAAAAGAAACAGGTTAAAGTAGTTTTATACATAATCCTGACCTTTTCCAAAGTAAGAAGCACTTTTCAGATACTTTTTTTCCCCTCTGATCTTTGAGGCTAGCTCTGTTACAAAGATTTCAGAGACTTTGATGTCTCTTTAAAACTCTCTTAAAATGATTACTGAAACTAAATCCATCCTTGTAAAATTGCCCATTAAAACAGCAACTGTTAGAAACCTGGTTTTAGGATTTTGTTTCATCCTGCCTTTTAACACATTCCTTTGCTTAGAAAATATCAAAATAAGTAAACCTGAAAGACAAAATCTTATCCATAAAACAAGAAAAAGCACTAAGGCTGATTTTCCTACTCTCTATTTAAGCAAATTTTGAAAAACGTTGATGACATTTGCTGTATGTTTTCCTCTTTGGATGATGTTTGGAATGATTTGTAATTGTTGCAGCCAACCCCCAATTTCAACACAGTTTGATATCAGACATTGCCTGAGAATTTAATACATTAGATGTTAAGACTTCAGTAAATAGTTACTGCACGCAGAAATAAACATACACTGCTCACATCTGTACAATCCTGTTCCATTTACAGGTTTCTTAGCTTATTGTTTTTTACTTATTATTTCTCAAAAAAAGAACACACCTGGCCTTGTTAGAAAATGTCAATCTCATAATAATAATAAAGCCATTGACAGTACAAGAACTGCAGAAACTGACAAAAAAGCAGCAGGAGTGTGGGGGGAACAAATACAGTGGCCCCTGATCGACAAGGCTGCATCCAACTGCAACTATCTAAATGAACTTCATCTCTCAAAAGACGCACTGGGAAAATCTATCCTTAAGAGTTCAGAAAATTTATCCTAAAAGAGGTTATGATACTTGATAAGGAAAAGCACCTGGAAATTCAAGTGCAAACGGGCAGAACTTCTCCCCAGCTGGAGGGCGTGCGGCAGAGGCTGCACTCCCTGGACACGGCCGTGCCACGCCGTCCCTCCCCACGGCCCGGCTGCCTCCGCGCTGGAGCCCTGGGAGCATCCGACGGGGGTAAATGATTTTAGACATTGTTTTAGGCTCTGGTTTTTTGTTTGTTTTAAACAGACTGGTAGTTCTTGAGCGTCCCGGCAATCAGGGACAAGGAGAAGAGAAACTGTTACCGCTTCACCCTGCGCCCAGGCAGGGGCGGGCTCACACCGGCACCGACCAAGACGCTACCGGAGCCCGATAGCTGAGCGAAAAGAGGGACGGAGGGCAGGCGGCAGGAGGCGCCGGGGCAGGCGGGTCTCCGAGGCGGCGCTGGGTGGAGCGCGACCCCCGGCGGCCCCCGCCCCCCCCCGCCTGCAAGACGCCCATCGCTCGCTCGCCCACACGGGCGCTCCCTCAGCCCGTTACCTGATTAAGGCCACTACTCTCATGCTGCTCACGGGGCCGGGGGGCGGTGACAGTAACAGGGAGGTGCGTGACAGCTGCAACACGCAGCGGGAAAGGAGCCCGGCC